CCCCCCCCCCCCCCCCCCCCCCCCCCCCGCACCCTCGCAGCCCAGCTACGGCTGGCTGACGCCGGCGGTGGGCTGCATCGAGCTGATGCAATGTATGGTGCAGGTGAGAGCCGCGATAGGGGGCCAGATGATGTTTTAAGTTTGTTTGTACTCGCTCGGCGCAGGCAGGCAGGAAGGCGTGGGGCTCAGCGGCGGCCCCCGCCGGCGGCGGCTGGCCCCAGCTCCCGCGCTGGCGGCGTGCGAACTTTTGGCCTCTGTCGACCCCCGTGGCCCCGCACACCCTGGTCCACATGGCACCGCCGGCCTCCCTCCCCATGGTATCATACCGCAGGCGGTACCACTGGCCTCCAAGAAGGCGGCCCACGTGGGCAAGTCGGGGGAGAGCGCCGCCGCCTTGCTGCAGCTCCCACACTTTGACGGCGAGCTGCTGCGCAGGCTGGCGCGCAAGAAGGTCAAGACGTTGCTGGGTGCGCCCCCTCCCCTCCGTACCCTTTCCTGTGTCTGCCTCTGTTTCTGCAGTTGCCTCCCCCGGCCGCAGCTCCCTCTTGTCGTGTCTGGCCTGATAGCCGGGGCAGGGCCCCACCTGCCTGGTACACGGCCCTGTCGGGAAAGCAAACGGGGTGCCTGGGCTGCGCCGTCTCGTGCTGCCTGCCCGGGGGTGCCCGGGGGTGCCTGCCGGAACCTTCGCCTGGGGTTGGAAGTGTGCAGGCCGAGGGCGGGTCCCCGGCCCATGACCGGGGCTGGGACCCAGCAGCAGCAGCCTCTGCCCTACACACACACACACACAGGCACACACACAACTCCGCCCCCTGTGCCCCCCCCCTCCTGCCTGCCCTGCAGAGCTGCAGCAGCTGTCGGCCGAGGAGCGCCAGGCGCTGCTGGTGGGGTGCGGTCTGGCGGCGGGAGAGGTGGAGGAGGTGGAGACGATGCTCTCGGGTGGGGCTACCTGCCTGGGCTGCCTAGGGTTAAGCCTGGGCTGCTTAGGGTTGAGGGTTCGGAGGGTGGAGATGGTGGCTGACGCCTGGGCTGCCCCTGCTGCTGCTCCCCCTGCTCCTGCCGCTGCTGCTGCTGCCGCTGCCTTAGATGGCTGGCCTGGCGCCGCGCCTGCTCCCGCCGCTGCTCAAGGCTGCTGCCCTTCACCCAGCTCCCATCTGCCCCGCTGCTCCGCCTGCAGCCATGCCCACGCTCTGGGTGTCTGCGCAATGTGTGGTGGAGGCGGAGGAGGTGAGGGCAGGCTGCGGCAGTGCGCCACCTGCTGCTGCCAGAAGGAACCGCGCCCTCCTCTGCAGGCGGCCCGCTGCCTGGCGGGCGCGTGGGTGGTGGAGGCCTGCCGTTGCTTGTTGTGTGTGCAGTCTGCATATCCGCACACGAACGTGCGACAGAGAGCCCTGCGGCATAAAGTGCCTGTCCGCCTGCCTGCCTGCCCCGCTGCCTGCACCTGGCCTCACCGGGCCCTGCCGTGCTTTGCCTGCTGTGCCTGTTGTGGTCAGGTGGATGATGATGTGGTGCTGGAAGGGGATGTGGTGACGTGCCGGGTGCAGGTGGGCATGCGTGTGGTGCGCGTGTGTGTGTGTGTGTGTGTGGTGCGCGCGTGTGTGTGTGTGTGTGTGGAAGAGCAGCGCGGGGTTGCGCTCGGTGGCGGCGGTGGGTGGCGGGCGCAGTTTATTTTTTGCCTTGATGAACTCAGGAACAATTTGTTTCCAAGTCTGAACTCAAGCCGCAGACGACCTCCTCCTTCGTGTTTGTTAAGTTGTGTTTGTTAACGTAAGGCGAAAGCTGGTGTGGCGTGGGCGCAGGTCATGCTGACGCGGCCCAGCCACATGGCGGCCGCCTTTGACTCAGACAGCATCAAGGGCAAGGGCGCCCTGGTGAGCCCTGCCGCGCATAGCTGCACCTAGTCTAGTCTAGCTAGTCTAGTCGAGCTTCACCCTCTCCAGCCTTTCTAGTCCCTAGTGTATCCTGAGCCATGGTCATCGCAGTCATCCCAGCAGCTGGTGCTGCACAAGGGGCGCCTGCAAGCCCCCGCGGCTGTGTGGCTGCGGCTGCATGCCTGCGCTGGCGGCGGGTGCCTCATTCACGGCGAAGCCTGGATGGTACCGACTGACCGTGCCGCCATGTGTACTGCAGGCCTACGCTCCACGGTATCCCACCCCCAAGGAGGAGCTGTGGTTCTTCATGCTGGCAGACCCGGCGGCGGTGGGTGCCCGCCTCCCTGCCCGCCTGCCCTGCCCGCCTGCCCTGCCTGCCTGCCTGCCTGCCCCCACCCCTTTCTCCTCTGCCACCCCATGCTCCCAACCCTTGGTCCGTCTTACAAAATGGTCGCCTCCTCTTGAGAAACACAAGATAACAGATAATATAACTTTACCGTTTAATGCACGAATCACCGTCTCCCTGCCCCCCCTGCAGAACACATCCATGGTCATCTCAAAGCAGAACCTGCTGCAGGTGTGTGTGTGTGTGTGTGTGTGTGTACGGCTGTGTGTGTGTGAGAGAGAGTATGTGTGTGGCGGCTGCCGGGGAGTGCTGTTGCCCAGCCAATGTGCGTGCCCATGCCACGATTTCACCCCACACGCAGGCGGAAGCCATCGGCGCGCGCTACGCCGCCAACTGGAGCGCCCGCCACAACACCAGCGCGGTGGCCAGCCTCACACGCGGCGGCGGCGGCGGCAAGGCGGGCTGCGGCAAGGCAGGCGGCGGCGCCGCCGCAGCCGCCGCTGCCAACCCTCTGCTAGCGGGCACCAAATTCGATCCGTTTGGCGCGAACGGCGGCGAGGTGGGCGGGACAGGGGGCGGCCGTGCTGTGTGCTGCGTCCACGCCTGGCCGGCCCCCTGCCTTGCGGTGCGCAGCAAGTGCACGCCTGCCTCGCATCCGACGTGCTGCTGCCGCCCTCCTCCCTGGCAGCCCTCACCTCCCTCTCACCTTCCTCGTGCCTGTGCCGTGCTTTCCTCCCCCCCCCTCCTTTCCAGCAGGAAGCTCTGGAGTCCAGCCTCGAGGAGCTGGGTCAAACGTTTGACCTTGCTTTCATGGCACCGCTGGCTGCAGGTGAGTCTCCGCCCTCCTCCCTGCCACGCTTTCTTCCCATGTCTGTCTTCGCCTGCTCCCCTGGCCTCCCGTCCCTGCCATCTTGATCCTCTCTTGCTTGCTTGCCTCGTTCTGTTGCCTGCCCTCTGGCTCTTGCCCGTCGGCCGGCCGGACGCCAGCCAGCTAGCTGGCCCGGCCTCCTGGCGGCACCCCCCCCCAGCCTTGCCCGCCTGCCGACCACTGCCCCCACTCCTGCCTCTGCCCACCTCCCTCCACACCTGCCTCCCCTCCTGCCTCCCCTGCCTGCCTCCCCTGCTGCCTGCCTGCCCCTCGCCCCTGCAGGCAAGTACGACCTCCAGCTGCTCTGCATGCCAGACTCGTGGGTCGGATGCGACCGGGCGGTGCCCATCAAGCTCAAGGCGAGTGTGTGTGTGTGTGTGTGTACCGGAGGGAGCATGCAGGGGGCATGGAGGGAGTGCTGCGCGGCGCCCCGCTCGCACCGAAGCAAACCAATGCTGCGTTGCTGCAAAGCACTCGAATGGGAATGCATGCACGGCCCCCCCCGCACGCATGCGCCTTTGTGAAGCAACGCAGCAGCCAAC